CTTTTGAGATACATATTACTTGAATAACTGATATTATTGTACGTTTGACTTTCTTTTTTCTAACTAACTCTATCATTTCTTTCTTCCGCTTCTGTTGGTTTGCATATTGATGAGGCATTTCTTTCTTTCGAAGACTGAATTAATATTAATATTCTTGTCGAGTGATGGTTATTAAAAATGAGACCAAGGTTAGGCAGGTACGTCAGCTGTAACAGTGTACTATATTCTATGTACTAGCTACTGGAGGAGCCTTATGATGGCATGCCATCTGATCTTTACAGAGAGGCCTTCAGTCTTCACAAGCGAAGTTTGTCCTTCAAGGTAGCAGGCCTTGCTCCACTTTCGTTTCCATTTACTTATTTGTAACAGCGCTAACGCCTAAAAAGAAATATCCTAACCTATGTTTATCTTGTTCTTACAGCAGAGGAATGACAAAGATAAGAACAATAACGTACGGCAGCGCCGTAGTTGGGACCCACTATACTGCACTTTCACATTATTAAGTATTATATACGGCAGCGCCGTAGTTGGGACCCACAATACTGCACTTTCACATTATTAAGTATTATATAAATAGGAGTAAATTAACGAAACACTAATATTACGGAATAATAATAATAATAATACGTAAAAATGATAATACAAACCTTCGTGAGTTTTTAAATGAGCTCGAAGATTACAGGCAAGAGCAAATCTTTTCTGGCAAAACCCGCACACGTGAGGCTTATCACCTGGAAAACATAGTTTAATATATGTCTCTAGAGACATATATTAAACTATGTTTTCCAGGTGATAAGCCTCACCTGTATAGTTTCAGAGACATATATTAAACTATGTTTTCCAGGTGATAAGCCTCACCTGTATAGTTTCAGAGACATATATTAAACTATGTTTTCCAGGTGATAATCGTCACCTGTATAGTTTCAGAGACATATATTAAACTATGTTTTCCAGGTGATAATCGTCACCTGTATAGTTTCAGAGACATATATTAAACTATGTTTTCCAGGTGATAATCGTCACCTGTGTAGTTTCGAAATTTTACAGGTGAGACTTATCACCTGGAAAACATAGTTTAATATATGTCTCTGAAACTATACAGGTGAGGCTTATCACATGGAAAACACAGGTCTATACAAATCTGTCCTAAAACTTCACATGTGAAACTTATATTTTGGAAAACACAGTTCTATATATATTATTTTGAAATGTTTTTTACTCCAACAGTATTATTTAATTATACAGAAACTTCAAGAATATGCAGCTTAGCATTACATTACATCTTGGATTTGTCTGTCTGTTTGTTTGTAATTAAGCACAAAGCTACACAATGGGCCATCTGTGCTCTGCCCATCACGGGTATCGAAACCCGGATTCTAGCTGAGCCACTGGGGGGGAGGTTGATATTTTTTATCAACCGTATTCAAATAAAAATTAAAATTAAAGAGAATCTTTAAGTGAGTAACCTTGTAATGTCCTGTTACCAGACTTCTTTCCAGACATTGTTCAGTTGTCCATTTTCTTGTCAGTAAAACGTTTCGCTTTAAATAAAAACAAACAATAGTTTTACAAAGAGTACGTTATTCTTCAATATTTTATTGTTGGAACTTCTCTTTGTGATCTACCGCTAATTATTTTAATATATTATTATTAATAATAATAAACCGTTGTAAAACATTAATGTTTAATTCTTATTATTATTAACAAACCGTTGTAAAACATTAATGTTTAATTGTTATTATTATTAATAAACCGTTGTAAAACATTAATGTTTAATTCTTATTATTATTAATAAACCGTTGTAAAACATTAATGTTTAATTCCTGTTACGATACACACGCATTTCTTGAAAATGCCGTGCTGGGCAGAGCACAGGTGGCTCATTCTTAACAACAACCAAACCAAGTTTTTGTTTGAAGACTGTTCCCTTTCAAACAATGAGTACACACTGAATGCATAATCATGGACAAATTCCATTCCACATAGGTGGAAAACTGTATTACTAAACAATACCCTTTGTTCCGGCATACTTGTTTGTTTGTTTTTGTTTTTTTTTTCGGAGGGGAGGAAGATACATTTCTCGTGACAAACTTTTGTGGATCGTTTACCTGAAAATGTTAGGTAACCAGTTTCTTGACACATGACAAACCACCTTAAATATGTGTATGACCTTTGAACTTGCTCTCATGGAACCTCTTTATATTGCTTGACTTTGTCGTTACTTTTTTTTCAACAAAAGAGTAACAGTACATTGTGCATGACTAAACGTACATCACGTGCCTAATCACTTTGAAAGCTAAGACTAACTAAACAGTTTACTCCTGATTTTTTTTAAAAAAAAGGCCTACCTACCTTTCGAAAGCGTTCGGGTTATAGGGCTTCTTACTTTTGTCTTTCATTGAGTCTTTTATTTTCACCTTCGTGTTTTATTGCTACCAGGAATGAATAGAGATTCTGTAACTTTGATCAGTAACGAAAAGACAAGGGCGGTCTTTGAGAAATGTTTTAAATAATAACAGAAGCATGTTCGGGAAAAGTGCGCCTCTACAAGGGCTTTATCCGGCTCTTTGAACCAGATAACTGGAATGACAGTCACTTTCATTACGCACCCATAACTGAAAGAGTCGAATGTGTTGAGCGACACCACGTCTCGATCCTGGAACCTTTTCGAGCCACAGCCCGACACGTTAACTCCTGTGTGAATTCACTCTATATGGATTTCACTTGTCGTCAGATGAGACAAAAACAAAGTATAAAATAATCAATAGTTACGTGTGCGTTTGGCGATATTTAGCCACATCTCTCGACGTTAGTGTAAACCTGACACAAATGTAACCTTTTCTCCGATTACAAAGCGTCTGACTCTCAAGTTGTAAGCAGGTATTGTAAGCTTACAAGTTGTAAGCAGGTATTAAATGTAGTCCAATGATTTTGTTGATCTTGTTTATTTGGTTAGTCCTATAAAACTAAGTTTTATATGTATATATATATACACTGGGTGGTCACAAGTAAATAGACACCAAATTTTTCGTTATTTAACTGATTTATGCTAACTAATTTGTGTTCACAGAGCACTATATAAATGCAAATGGTCCGCACACTAATTATCTTGTGCTACAACATGCCTAGAACTCAAGGTTCTCTCGAATTGTCAGATTTTATTAGAGGAAGGATAGTTGGTCAAGCAGATGGTGGAATAAGTCAGTGGCAAATTTCGCAGAATTAGGGAATCCTGCTTTCAACAGTCAACAGAATCATCGTGCAGTTCAGGAAACACGGCAAGGGAACAACTGAGCAGCGTCCGGGTCGTCCTGGTCCATGGATTAACGACTGCAGAAGTGGCCAAAGTTGGTGGGATGAGCCAAAAATCTGGTCAACGGATTCTCCACA